CTTTGAACTAATTTGGATTGTTTAAATCTTTTCATGTTGGGGTCTTTATTGGCTGACTTATAAGGTATGGGTTTTCTCATTATCGAAGGCCGTCATTGGTCTTTAATTGCTTGCATCCACTTCTTTGAACTCTGGTGGATACAGGGGCGGATCCAGGATTTTGGAAAGGGGGGCGTAGTATGAAAGTGTGCCGAGCTGAGCAAGGCGAAAATTTTTTTTGACCTTTTTTTGGCTAAAAAACATAAAATAAGTGTAAAATGCATTTTATAGTTAAAGTGTAAGGGTTGGACATTTTTGGTGCCGTATTCTCTCCATTAATTGTCTATTATAAAATGATTGGATGGATCCAAAACTATGTACTAACTAATATATTTGATGTAGGGTTTGTCAGTAAAAAATGGACATGGAAAATTCTCGTTTGTTGTATGGTTAGTTAGCATAACCTCACAGATTTCTTGTTGTAAACAAGATATACGGCTATTCAATGAAATTTACAATACGACCGACACGAAGAAAGACAAACAAGCAATTTTTATCCAAATGTTTGGTTGAAATGTTTCAACCAACAAGGGAAGTGAGGGGTTCCAAATCAACCAAAGGCTACGAATGAGTCGGAAATGACAATGGAGTTGTGAATGACGGTCGACACATGGAGACATATAGGCCACACCCATCAGGCAGGTTACAGTCAGGCCTTGAAAAAAGTATTCAGTATATCAGTTCGTTAAAACAGACATTCCGGTTAGATATGAGATTCACATGCAACCCCCCAAAAAAAATTACGCCCGTTTTTTATTTATCATGTTCATTTAATGCTAAATAATTTTGTTGAAAATATTTTTTTCTAATAGCAAAAAAATGGACAAGATTATTGTTATCAATCCAGATACGGCCAGAATTTTTGTTTAAGGCAAAAATCAGGGTCAGAATTTTTTCTCTAAAATATCTCAGACTGCCCCCTCAAATCAAATGGTCCGTACCTTAGACTTTAAATCTATATCTAGAGCTTACTGACTGGGGATCACTATTCAGCAATGTTATTAATGGGCTGGGGCGTGTGGGGTTAAACATGTTTTCGTAGGTAAATAATATTGCTGTGGAACTTTTTTTTCATGAGAGTGTAATAGAGTATTACTTTCTGTTGGGTGGATTTGTGAAATAGTAGTCAATACGTTCTTGCTCAATACTTTGTCGCTTTAAAGGCGTCATGCTTGTCATCCTCAGCCTAAGCAATGTGCTACTGTAATTTGAATTCCAAAATGATTGAGTGCCGTTTTTTTCGACGTACTGGTCAACTCCACCGTAGCAAATCACATGACTTTGACATAATCACTAATATATTACAGTAAATACGAGCGAAAAATATCTTTATAAGTAAAGAATTGTCGCATAAAAATCAAATACACGGGAAATGGCAAAGTTCGCGAAGTCTAGTCTGATTAATCATTTTACAAAAAAAAAAAAAAAAAAAAAAGTGCAAGCAAAAGGGGGGGGGCGTACGCCCTCTACGCCCCCCTCTGGATCCGCCACTGGGATAGATAACTCACATACCACATCTTCTTATTTTTATAATAGTCATCATTCAAGGGCAATCACTTTTATTATATAGAAGTGGTCTTACCATTAAGGCCTTGTTGTCTTCTGTTTATGTAGTTTTGCAGATCATTTCTACTGTACAGTTGTCATGGTTGTAATTGTTTATATTTTTCTTTATCTTCTATATTTCTTGCCCTAAACTTAAAAAAGGTAAAAACTATAATTTAATGACTATAACTATTATTGTACATCAGTATGTGTTTTTCTATATACCATGATATATAAAAAAGGAATGAAATATTTGTGCTATTTCATTTCACAGACTATTTGCCAGTCAACAGTTTCAAAGACATAACCACGGTCAATAGTTTAACAAACAAACATTCCCGTACTTTTTCATCGTGTTCATACTAATTTTTCAATGGACAACAATGACGTGATTAACTATTCTTCTATGATGTGTGTGCTTGACAACATTAAACTCTGAAATATTGTTAACGGTATAATCTGTATGTGTCTGTCGTCAAAATTTCAAATTAATATTTTACTTACAGAAGCAATTAAAACAAGAGGCTCACAAAATGAATGGGATCTAAGAACTTAAAAATTTCTAATTTACCTATTCAAACCATATCATTATTATTTGCTTTTATATATAAATCATTCAGAAATAACCAAATTTTAAAGAAAACAAAAGGAAAAAAAGGAAAAAAAATCACCCCCAAACTCAATCCTAGCCTTCCCTATGTGGTATGGTACCTTGCTGTACAATTTTAGAGAGATCCATACACTTGAAAAATCTAAGATTTATGAAAAGAAGGGGGAGGGACTATGGTGGTGGTGGTGGGGGGGGGGGGGGGGGGGGGGGGGGGGGGGGTGCTCAAAACAGGATCCTGTCCTCAAGCACCTATGCATATAGGAAGCTGTAAATATAATAAAAGGCCTCGAAATGACAAATGTAAAACAAAAAAAACAAGAAGCCTAACATTTATAATAGAATTTAAAATAAATTGAAAATAGAAATGGGGAATGTGTGAGAGATAACAACCCGCCCAAAGAGCAGATAACAGTCGAAGGTCACCAATGTGACTTCAATGCAGCGAGAAAATCCCACAACCTGAGGCGTGCTTCAGCTGGCTCCTAAACAAAAATGTATACTAGTTCAGTGATAATGGACGTCATACTAAACTCCGAAATATATAAAAGAAACTAAAATTAAAAATCATACAAAACTGACAAATGCCACAGGCTCCTGACTTGGGACAGGTGCAAACATATGGTGGGGTTAAAAGCCTATATACTGTAAATTTCAGACATTATTGCATGTATTTACTAATATTGCCAATTAACATAATCAGTCAAGGATATAACTCTATAGCATGTATAGGGTTATTACAGAAAAATAACATACATTTGTTATTGTGGACTAAAAAATCAAAGAACTGTGATAACATATGCATGTTACATGTTTCGAAGGGACAATATACATCATTAGTTTTCTTAAAATGTACACAGGTTCTATTGATATTACTATTGTCTTTATGTATACTTAACTATAGAAAGATATAACAGTTCATAGCTCGCCAATCATGCATAGTACACCTATGTTATTACTGAAAAAAATATGCCTATAATAACTAACGGGTGTTATTACAGCTACTCTACATCATTCCTAAGGATTTGCTCAGACATTCATCATGCTTAATTACAATGTATTTTAATTTATTGTAAGAAATAATGATCAGAGCATGTAATGAGGTTCTGCGCAAGCTTCCCAGTAATTCCCAAGTGTCTTGTATAACAAGTTAAATGCCTTTAATAACTAATATAAAAAAGAAGATGTGGTATGATTGCCAATGAGACAACTCCCCACAAGAGACCAAATGACACAGAAATTAACAACTATAGGTCACCGTACGGCCTTCAACAATGAGCAAAGCCCATACCGCACAGTCAGCTATAAAAGGCCTCGAAATGACAATGTAAAACCATTCAAACGAGAAAACTAACGGCCTAATTTATGTACAAAAAATGAACGAAAAAACAAACATGTAACACATAAACAAACGACAACCACTGAATTACAGGCTCCTGACTTGGGACAGGCACATACATACAGAATGAGGCAGGGTTAAACATGTTAACGGGATCCCAACCCTCCCCTAACCTGGGACAGTGGTGTAACAGTACAACATAAGCCTTGTTATTACAGCTAAGTTTATCCCTTAAAAGCCTCGTTCATTGATTTGCCATGGTTAATGAAAAATGTATTAATTTAATTCAAAAATTAGTTATCAAGGCTATGCATTTAGTTTCTGCGCAAAGTTTCAAGAGTTCCCTAGAGCCTACTAAAAATCAAAATATTTATGATTTATTTTACAAATAACAAACATATGTTATTACAGATTTAGAAAATTTAAGGATTTAAGAGTAGACAACTCATGAAAGTATCTGTAATAACACATGCAAGTTATTTTCTGTAATAACCCTATAGAGTTATATCCCTGACTGATAATCATGATAATTTCCCTTTCAATTTTTAAAAAATTCTGATTTAAGTTTTTGTTGTATATTGGGACTTTGGATAGTCTCAAGAATGCTTTCACCAATTGTTATGAAACTTTGGTGAATTGATTTTATATATTGACATAAACTCCCTTTTCATCTTTATGACCCATAGTGGGTCAACCCTTGACCGTCTGTCCCAAAGTCATTGGTTTTTGTTCTCTAATTAAGTTTGCCTCAACCAAATGTTATAAAACTTTCACAAAAGCTTATTACCACAATACTCAGATCAAGTGTGGTGGTGTCAGTGTTACCGTTCTAGAGTTATGCCCCTTTACAAATGGAAAAATTGCTGAATTTTTGGTTTCCCGCTCTCTAACTTTAACTTTAGTTTGCCTCAACCAAATGTTATGAAATTTGCACACAATGCTTATTACCACAAAAAACAGTTTGAATTTTGGTGGTGTCACTTTTACTGTTCTAGAGTTATGTCCTTTACAAATGGAAAAAATGATGAATTTTTCGTTTCCGTTCTCTAAATTAAGTTTGCCTCAACCAAATTTTATTAAACTTTAACGCAATACTTTTTACCACAAAATCAGATCAAGTTCAAATTTAAGTAGAATAAATTTTACCGTCCTTAGTAATCTTCCTTTATAACTTTATATGATATGCAAGCCGGAGTATCATCCCCTATTTATTTTTATATAAGATGCAGAGTAATGGAATTTTAGTTGTTGGAAAATTGTTCAAAATTATCCATTTTCACACTTTGGAAAGTTTTAGAATTGTATTTGTTCAAAAATCACGGCCTTAAACTTATATACACTTGCAATATCCCTAAATGGAGCCAAATTATTTTCATGTTTTGTTTCAATGTATACCACTGTGTGCATGTCCTTTTTTAGCTCACCTGGCTCGAAAGGCCAAGTGATCTTTTCTCTTCACTTGTTGTCTGTCGTCGTCCATCGCCGTTGTTAACTTTTTACATTTTGAACTTCTTCTAGAGAACCACTGAATGGAATGGAATTAAACATGGCATGAATGTTCCTTATGAGGTGCTGACCAAGAGTTGTTACTTGATCCAAGATGGCCGGCAGCGGGGGACTTAGTTTAAGATAGGACCCTATAGGAAATACATACAAATGTCTTCTTTTAGAGAACCACTGAATGGAATGAAACCAAACATAGCATGAATGTTCCTTATAAGGTGTTGACCAAGTGTTGTTACTCTGTAGCCAATCCATCATCCAAGATGGCCGCCAGCGAAGTACGACAATATTAAACCAAATATGGCCTCAATCATTATTAAAGTATGTGTTATGATTTTTATCTTTTTTATATGATTTCAAAAACCCAAATAGTCAGGTGAGCGACACAGGCTCATTAGAGCCTGTAGTTTTTTTTTTTTAGGGGGGGGGTCTTAGTTGCGCAGTGCTCACAGTTTTTCTATAATGATTAATGTAGTTGATCATTAAAATTCATTTAAAGCATAAACCCAAGCTAAAAGGACAACAAGCTTATCAAGCACTCATGGTACAGCTTTTTATTAAACACGCATTGATATATACATTAAACAGCAAAATGATTATTGATGCAAGATGTCATTAAATAATAATTTTTACTCTGTTTATGTGTAGGACAAGAACTATAGAAGATACAGAGAAATTATAAACAGCAGAAATGATAGGCAATTTAAAATTTGCAGAAGTCAACAAATCCTAAATGGTAAGTAAACTTATCATAGATACCAGGATTAAATTTTGTATTTACGCCAGACGCACGTTTCGTCTACAAAACACTCATCAGTGAGGCTCGATAAGACTCTCAAGGCCACTTTTATAAAAGTTATTGCCCTTGAAAGATGATTATCATGATTATTATAAAAATAAAAAGATGTGGTATATTAAATATGAAAACTATTGATCATGGCTCCAAGAAAGCAATTATAGGCCAGGGACGGCCTTCAATAATGAGAAAATCCATGCCCTATTGTCAAAGTAGTCATAATAAAAGGCCCTCAGATGAAAAATTGAAATAATCCCAACTGTAGAACTAATTGCCTAGTTTATAACAAAACAAATTAAAAAAAATAAATATGACAGAAATGAAACAACAACAACCTCTAAATTTTAGTGTCAGAATAAACTACAGGCTCCGAACTTGGGACAGGCACAATCAGAATATGGCAAGGTTATATAAAAATAAGAAGATGTGGAATGATTGTCAATAAGACAACTCTTCACCAGACAAGAAATGACATACCGGTAGATTTCCTGCAAAAAAATAAACAGTCCGGACTGAGCAGGAAATTTATACCTTTCCCTTAATCGAAAAGACACAAAGATCTGTTAGTACTCACAGTTACTGACAGCTAGTTAAAAATCAATAAAAACTAATACATGTAATAAAAAAATCAGGTTTGTGAGCACTCAACCCTACCTTAACCTTGGACAGTGGTTTAACAGCTCAACATATAAAGAACAAACTGTAAAACAACCGTTGCAATTGCCTCAACTCGAAAGATTGATAAAATGCACAAAATCAACAAATATAAAAACCCATAGACAAAAAGCACGGAATTGAGAGAACTTACAAGTAAGAAAGGAAATATTCTTAAAATGTTCATTTACATGACAAAATAAGCTTTTTTATTGCTGTTTCTCTCTCCATTTATAACATTTTGTTTGTTTATTTTTTGTGTATTTATAGGTGATCAGACATCTTGGTTTTCATGATCAATAGGTCAACACTGAAGAGGACACTGAAAGTTGATATCTATCTACATGGTGCGCTAATTGGATTAATGTGAAATGGAATGTGTGCTTGCCTGCAAAAAAGAAATAGGAAATTTCATCATAATCACATGATAATGGCTATAAACAAAATGGAGTTCTATCATAGATGCAGAAATTCACAATTGTATACATGTAAATGCAACAACATATTATATATATTTGTCGAAAGAAGGGAGAAATGAAGAAAAAAATAGTATTTTGTTGTTGAAAGGAACACCAGCTTTATCCACTCATTACATCGTTACCTCATATCAAATATACTGAAGAAGATCTTCGAAGAACAAATTGCAAAAATGTTTTCTCTAAGAATTGAAGGAAATTGTTTAGTGAATGGAATAATTTATGCATTGAACTTTTACGTAGTGGATTGAATAACTGTACACACATGACACAGCAGCTGAAACAGAGGAAAATTAAAATTTACAAGAAAAGTGTTTATTTCATTATTGAATTTGCAAATATGAACGCATTCTTAAGAACACCATAAATGGTATGACATTCAAATTGGTTGCTTATTAATGTAAACAAAGAAAACAGAATACTTTGCTACAAAAAATATTTTATAAATCAAAGTTAAAGTCATATAAAGTATATACAATACCTTGACCTAAACAGTCAGACTCACTGTATTGTTTTTGTATGTCATGATAATTTTAAGGCAAAAATTTATTAAAGTTTTAAATATCATTTTTATCATTTATTAAGTCTTGTAAACATTATGTTCATACTGTTTGTATAGTGAAGAAATTTACAATGAGTAAAAATAGGGGAAAACATTTCCTACAGGGAAAGTTGATGTACAGAAATTTCCTTTGAGGAAATTTGGAGAATAATGTTTTCCTTAGAGGAAATTTGTGGTATTGAATTTTCCCTCAAGGAAAAGTGTTTGTTAAAAATTTCCTCAAAGGAAATTGCAGTTGACAAAATTTCCTCACAGGAAAAAGTATTTCCTCAAAGGAAAATTTGAAGCTGCAAATTTCCTCAGAGGAAAATTTGAAGCTGCAAGTTTCCTCAGAGGAAATAGAATTTCCTCAACGGAAAATTTGAAGCCGCAAATTTCCTCAGAGGAAATATTAATGCAGCAAATTCCCTAAGGGAAATCTTTTTCCCTAGAGGAAAATACAATTTTCCTTAAGGAAAAATCTTTTTCCTTTAGGGAAATTTGATTTCCCTTGAGGAAAACTACTTTTCCTCTGAGGAAATTGTTGAAAAAAGGGGCATAACTTTTTCAACAGTGGTGCTAGAGCCAAAAATTTTTAGGACAAATATCAGGGAACCAATACCAACCAAGTTATCAACTTCATTTTGACTTAACTCCAAAAATTAAGGTGACAACTTTTGCACTCAGCGGAAGTGCAAACTTGTCCCGGAGACTGTTATAAGAAAGAAAATTTTATAACGTACGTATATTTAAGAAACATCTTTGGAATAAAAATGATCTTTATAATATTATAAATTAAGTGATTTACCAATTTTTTTGTCCAAATCTCAAAATATTTCTCAGTTATTCAAAAACGATAAAATAACCTTACTAACTTGTTTTCAGACTCGACGAATCATCATACACATCAATCCTTGAAATTGTCTTCCCTTATTTTGTTGACTCACCCAGCAACATTAATAGATATATATGATTGTTTGAATGGTTGATTATTGTGTAAGTCCAGTGGCAAATAGTTCATACATGTTCAGGACGAGTTCGAATTAACACAAAATTTAGATCCTGCAATTGGGAGTCGACCGTGATGAAAAAGGGGGGAGGAGAGGGATTTAGAATGTCACTAGAAAATAGGGTATATATTGCTTAGGGACAATTAGAGGCTACCTTATAAGGTACAAGAATTTGTTGATGTTTTTTTTGCAAAGAGCGTAGCTCTCTTTTACACGATGCAACGGATTAATTTCTTATATTGACCGGACGTGACTATGAATTTATACATCCCGCACAGCCAAACAAACACCAAACTTATGCAAGGGTTTTACTGCAGGTAGAAAGAAGACCGAGGGATAATAATATTTCTATTCCCCATTCAATCTGTTGGGTTTATAAATTGATGACAATATGACCATGTGCAGAACCATTTTCATAGAAATAAGAAGATGTGGTATGAGTGCCAATGATACAACTCTCCATCCAAGTCACAATGTTTAAAAAGTAAACAATTATAGGTCAAAGTACGGCCTACAACACGGAGCCTTGGCTCACATCGAACAGCAAGCTATAAAGGGCACCAAAAATGACTAGTGTGAAGCAATTCAAACAGGAAAACCAACGGTCTTATCTATATAAAAACTAGAATCGAGAAACACTTGTGAATATATAAAGGAAACAGCCAGTTTGAAAGGACATTAAATTTTTAAAATGCAGTAATCCTGCGTTTCTGAACATTTTCATCTTTTTCTTGATTGTGCAATCATGATATCCATAGAACTCTCAAAAAGTACCTCGAAGCAGAAGAACGGTTTTCATAAGGCACGGACCATTCATTTAAAGGGCATGTTACAAACACATTTTTCGACTGATAATTCGACTGAAAGCATAAACAAATAACGGGTCAATCAATTTTCAATAACATACAGGAACAAGATTATTTTTATTAAACTCAACGTAGAATTTTACACTCTTTTTAAATTGAAACAAATTATTTTTTACTTCATTTCTGAAACATTTGTTTTCCTCAACGAATAAGAAATAATAAAATGTATTTAATACGCCGTGTACAGGTATTTAAAAAATGTGTACAGATGACAACAAATCCGATTATGGCATGGTATTGGTTGCAAAAATTTGATATTTTTCATTTAAATGCAATATTTCTTATTTAATTGGTATATTTCTTCATTTAAATGCAATATTTTTTATTTGAATGGTATATTTTTTTCATTTAAATGCAATATTTTTTATTCAGATGGTATAATTTTTCATTCAAATGGTATAATTTTTCATTCAAATGGTATAATTTTCATTCAAATGGTATAATTTTCGTTCAAATGCAATATTTTTTATTCAGTTGGTATAAAATGTCTTTTGAATGCAATATTTTTTATTCAATTGATATAGTAGTTTTTTTATTTATATGCAATAATTGCATTATGGGAAATTCTTTGACGTCATCAAGTCAAATATGCAACATCGTTTGTGATTGGTCGTTAATTGTTTGGATTTCTCCCCTTTCTTTCTAAACTTGAGTGACCAAGAATTAAAAAACGCGTCAGAATATCGCCCCTCTAACTAAATTTGGCGTTCGTGCGAGTTCGTGCACTGGCTGTTAATGCCAATAATGGCCAGGACGAGCAAAAAATGCGAGTGACAAGTAATTATAATTAATTTGACACACAACTTGTTCATGGATAGAAACAGATGCCTGCGTGCATGGCAAAAACACCTCCAATGAAAACCTTTTCTGAAGAAACTCTCCTACAGTCTACACATTGAAATAAAAAAAATACATAGCTAGCCCCCCTCCCCCTTCTAAGTTCAGATACATGTAATCATGACGTTCTTTAGTGCTATATCATTTTTTAACTTTTCTTGATCCTCAGAGACGTTGCAGGAAGGCACACATGAAAAAAGAATAAAAAGCATCCAGGACGTTACACTTATTTGGACTAAGCCACCTCTTTTTTACTACATGTATAAAAAAAATCACCTAATTACGACAGCAGAACCAGAAACCCACAAGTAGAGACATAAGCTGTTATACTCCGGAACAAATTTTTTAATAAAGACAATTCAGGATAAATTGGAACCAGTTACTAACCCATGTTACAACAATAGTCCTATGACATAGGACTTCACTATATGAGGCGTGAACTTCATATTTAATACTATCTATAATATGTGCTCTCATGTCTTATGCTGCAAATCATTTTACATTCAGGATTCGTTGTTGAGCTTTTTTTTTACTGTTCTCGTCTCCGAATCCCTTAAATAGATTTTTTTTCAAGCCCCACAGTAGTTCAATAATCAATGTATGTCTTTGCATAAATAAGTATGCAGGGCATATTTCAAAACATATTTTATCTTCTGGACTTTTAATTGATTTACTTTTCAATACTGCATTGGGAAGGGGGGTAGTAGGTTCAAATTTAGATATTTGTATAGAGATGTATATATGCGAGTATTGGCAGTAATGGTTATGGTGTGTATGTGAGGGTAGGGGTTTCAGATCAAAGATCGTTTCATTTCACTCTTTTCTTTATCCTTTGATCTCTATTATATTTGTCCTAAACATGCTGGACATAAGGCAACCAAAAGTCAATCAACGTATTCTGTATATTTCATCATTTCTTTATTATGTTATCTATAGATTTGGTCCCGCCCCTTATCTATTTTTTTGCACATTAGGGACGACATCAAAAGTTCAATGTAGGATAAAAAAAACTTAATTCATATAGTTTTTTCACGGACCTCCTGATTTTCTGATGTCGTCTCTTATCCTCTCTATGTAAACCCAATTCATGTCCTGATAAATGGTGACTCATGTATAGCATCATATGTGGTTATTAAAACAAGAAACATATTCATATTATAATAATTAATGTATTCTAGGACTTATAGATAGATGTCATTAGTCCCAGGTCATGTAATAAAGTAGGTCTTATAAAAATACAATAGCATTTTAATTTTGATGATTATATATATATGTTTATATATTTAATAATGCCATTTTTTTTTAGAAAGGGTAGGGGCAAGACGTTTTTAAAACATATCAATGGGGCGCGTTTTTTTTTTATTGTTCTTCGGAAGTGAGCCAGAAGAAGTCCATTTCTGTATTTTTTTGCATTTGGAAGATCTTCTGGCTCTCTTCCACCTCTTCTTTTTTGATAGGTTGACGGCAGAGGCACATAACAAACATGGCGTCGTTTAGTCTAAATGAAATTAATAAATTTATGAATGCAGTTATATTAGAATGTGAGCTGTTTTATAAACGTTTTTATGGTATGACAGCCTTAGTAGGATATCCCTGTAGGACGATAAGCTGGATAACACTACTGGAACAATGCCCCGTAGATTGGCCGTGA